CTACGGTGCCTTCGTCGTGCGCCTGCGCGTGAAGACCGGTGTGAACATCCTGGAGCCCGTCACCTTCGCCTTCCTCATCATCGGCTGCATGGTGCCCTACTGGTTCGCCGCCCTGACCATGAAGTCCGTCGGAAAGGCAGGGCCCATGCACAGCGGTGCCGTAGAATTCAAGATGTGGGTTACACCCTTCGCATCATGAACCCTCAACTGCAAACACCACACCTTGCTGCACCCCGCCCTACTGCACGCTTCAACTTGAGCTCCAGCATCGCTCCTGGAAGCTATGTCGCACTCGAGGCAGCGGGCGAGATGGTGGCCGAGGTGAAGAGGCACTTGCGAGGGAGAGTGTTGAGGAGTCCACATTCCTACAGTTCATTGGAGCCTAAATCCGACACCCCCCAACCCTAAACGGCCCTGAGCCTACAATCACCACAAGCACCAACCTCCACACCCAGAGCCCCAAAGCCCTAAACCCTGGGATACCTTCAGATCATGGGGGTTTTGGTGGCGAGCTGAACTGGAGTCCTAAACCCTAAACCCTAAACCCTAAATCCTAGAGATCCTCTGCTTCAGCTTAAGTTGCAAGGACGGCTGAGTGTTTTTTGGATTCAAGGGTTTAGGGTTTAGGGTTTCGGGTTTAGGGTTTCGGGTTTCGGGTTTAGGGTTTAGGGTTTACGGTTTCGGGTTTAGGGTTTAGGGTTTCGGGTTTGGGGCCTAAGCCCCAAAGCCTGAACTCCTAAACCCTAAACCCGAAACCCTAAACCCTAAACTCCTAAATCCGCAACCCTCAACCCCGAGGCAGTTCAGCGTCAAGGACAGCCAGGGTAAGACTCTGCCCCGCGGCCGCACTGCAGCTCCGTTGAGGGCTTCTGTGAAGCTTGCGAGGGCTTGAGGGTTTTCTGGGTTCAGGGTTTAGGATTGAACAAAGCTTTCGGGCCGAATGTCCTAATCCCAAAAAAGTCCACGGCTCCCCCGGTGCTGGAGGGATCACTTTGCCACAGTCATTAGGGTTCTTGTTGAGCTCATCCAGTGCTCCGGTGAGGTTCCTTTGAGATCTAAGCCACCCGCTAGTCCTGAGCCCGCCTGCACAAAGTCTGACTCGGCTCAGACATGTTTCTTTGATGTTTGGCGGCTGTTATCCTTACATGAACGATCATGATAGCAACCAGGACAGACAGCTTGTTCTTGATGTTGATCGTCATTGTAAACCTTACATTCCATACACGTTCATACATCCTGAGGAAGGTAATTTAGCCCTAAGCCCGAAACCCGAAAGCAGTCGCATGTGGCAAGGCATGGAGAGGCCCTCGTTTCATCAACCTTTTAGCTTAAAGGTCCAAAACCCCTGAAGCCCTGGACACTAAACTCTGCATACAGCTATGATACCCTATACAGCCCGTTACGAAGCCCTGTAGAAACCTTGAGGCCCCCCATGCCCTGCCATCCCAGACCCGAAGCCGCCTCCAAGGCTGGATGGCAGCACTGAGTTGAAGCCGGACTCCCTGACCTGCATCCAGATCTCCACCCAGGCGCACTTGGGGCTCAGAGTTTAGGGGTTTAGGTCCGCTCAGGCGGCGGCATCCGTTGGACCACCGGTTGCGGAGGTAGTGCCGAACGAGTTCCGCGGTTTGTTGAGCAAGGGAGCTTTGGGATCCATCCGCGGGCCCCGGCTTACACAAAGCGGTAGTTTTGACTTCTCTTGGATTCTTAGGACTACGAAGCGCTCTGGGCAGTTCAAGGAGCACCCCATGGCCCTCTTGCTGGACCTCTAAACCCTGGCCCAACACGGCCACAGGGTGTTGGGGCTTGTGGTTAGCGTGTAGCTATGCTATGCTACGAGGATTAGGTGCTGCCCCCTTCAAAGCCCAGAAGCCCTAGCTTTTGAGACAACAGCGGTGATGGGAAGGCTTCCCTGGTTGAGATGGTGGCTCCTGCCTGCTTGGTGTGCCTCGGGCCGAATCGGGTTTGTCTTGAACTGGAACTGATCCGAAGAACGTCGGTTCTGTGTCAAGTACATACATGTATGTATATGGACATGTCTATGTTTGTATGTGTGTACTCAGACGTATACACGTATGCATATGCAGATGCATCTTTTGGTATCTGTATGTATGTATGTATGTGCTTTCACATAGGCATGTATGTATGTATGCATGCATGCATGTATGTATGTATGTATGTATGTATGCATTTATGTATATACACATGTATGGACACATGTATACTTGGATATATGTAAGTGAGTATTTGTATATATATATATGTATTGATACGGAGAGAGAGAGAGAGAGAGAGAGATAGATAGACAGATAGATAGACATAGGCAGACACATAGATAGACATAGATAGATAGAATAGATAGACCGATAGATAGATCGATAGACAGATAGATAGGTAGATAGATAGATAGGTAGGCAGGTAGGTAGGTAGGTAGGTAGACAGACAGATAGATAGATAGATATCATATACACATCCAAAGGTCTGTATCTATGTATGTTTTTTCGTAAGTGGGGCCCCGAAAGCCTTGGCCTCTCCTCCTGAGCAACCGCTGTGCCATCCGTCTGTGATATCTTCGAAGTCTGGTCATACCAACCGCAGCCTGTAACATAATTTCATGTCATGCGTCCACTGCACAGAGGCTTGTCTCCCGTACCAGACTGCGCTGGCAGGAACGACTCTATATCTGAGCCCTGATCCCGGTTAAACTCTTCCCCATGCATCCCTAAACCCTAAACCCTAAACCCTAAACCCTGCTTGATTCTTTAACCTTTGAACCCTCAACCTGATCGTCTAAGGATCCTTTCCCCTCTCCTCGCCGGCACCTTCTTCGGCGTCCAGGCAGGGATCCGCTGCAAAAAGGATCAGAGCAGGGGTTTAGGCATGTTCTTGGGCCCCCATTGCCATTCGATTTCAGAGTGTCGGTTTGGGGTTTAGGATTTCGGATTTGCTTTAGGTCCGGGGCAGGGTGGTAGCACTGGCAGAGCCCCGCGCCGCGACGTCCTGTACAAGCGTCATCTGGTGGCCCGCACATTCCTGAAGTTCAGAGTTTAGGGCGTAGGGCGCTTAGAGTTTACCGTTCAGGGAGCCGTTTCAAAGTGCAGCGGAGGTTTGATGTCGCCACGGTCAGCAGGTAAGTAAGACTGAAGACCCGTTATTCGCAGGCTACAGGCCTTGAACCTGGTGGGTCTTACGGCTTCCGGCCTCCGGCCCCGTCGCCGCGCACACCCAACGCTACCCCGCAAGAAACCGCCACACCTTATCGGGCCACGGGGCATTGCAGCAGAACCCTCCTTAAGCCCTAAGCCCTAAACCCTAAACCCTAAGCCCTAAGCCCTAAACCCTAAACCCTAAACTCTAACACCCAGACCCTAAACCCTAAACCCTAAACTCCAACACCCAAACCCTTAAGTGAGTCTTCAAGGCCGTCTTCGGGCTCCTCACGGGCTCCCTGGGCTCCTCCGTGCAGCTGGCCATCTCCATGTCCAACTCGGGCGGTGCCTGGGACAACTGTGCCTCGGCAGAAGTCGGGGGAGACAGGGTTTGAGAGTTTGGGGGGTTTAGGGTATTTAGGGTTTTAGAGGAGTTTGGGGGTTTAGGGTTTTAGAGTTTGGGGTTTAGGGTATTTAGGGTTTAGGGGATCAGCGTCTGCAGGGTTTTCGGGTTCTACTTGAAGGTTTTTGGGGCTCTAGCATCAGGGGCACGGAATAAAAGCAAAGAGGCTTCCAAACCCGCAACAGCCTAAGTTGCTTTGCTGAAAAGCTTCCCATGAAGCCGCCACCCATAGAACCCTATGAACACCTTATGACCTTATAGAACCCTGGCTTACAGTAAAGGTATATATATACACATATGGGAGTTTCCGAAAATTAGGGTACCTTATTTGGGGTCCTTATAATAAGGATCCTACTATTTAGGGTACTATATTAGGGTCCCCTATTTTCGGAAACCCCCACATATTATGATGTCTAAGCCCTAAACCCTACACCCCAACACCTGACACCCTAAACCACAACCCCGAAAGCAAGGCAAGAAGTTCATCAAGAACGGCTTCTCCGATGACCCCGAGCCACCGGACGGGGTTTTGATGAGAGGCTTCAGCTTCTAAGCCTACCGCCACAACCCTAAACCCTAAACCCTAAACCCTAAACCCCACACCCTACACCCTAAACCCTAAACCCTAAGCCCCAAACTCCAAAGCCTAAAAAAGGCTTGGCCAGGCCTCAAGGAAAATTTCAGACGTCTTTGAAGGTTTCAGGTCTGCGGCTTTTTGTGGGAGAGGAGGGGTGGGGGTTAGGCTTTTCGGGCGTAGGGTTTCGTGGCCTAGGAGGTTTCGGACGGACGCTCTGGGGGCCAGGGTTCAGGGACCTTAGGGTTTAGGGTTTAGGGTTTAGGGTTTAGGGTTTAGGGGTGTAGGGTTCGGGCCTGGGATACTCACAAGGCGGTTGCCAGGTAGTTGCGAGTGCCGTGATTGCGGTGTTTTGATGTAGCAAGCCCTTTTATAAACCCCACCGTCCTGTAATTCTATCGGCTAAGTCTCCTGATCCTTTAGATGCACCGCAGACGCGGACAACACCTTGCTGCTTCAGAAGCCCTCAAATTTTTGTCCCAAACGCCTGATCCTTTAAACCGAAAACCCTGACAAAGCCCCACAAGTCTACCTAGCCCCCGAGGCTGCGCTACACCAAGAATCCGAAGACCGCCGAGGAGGTGAAGGCCGCGCCCAAGGCGCTTCCGGGGGCGTTGGGGATACAAGGCTCTAGGGTTTTAGGGTTTAGGCTTTAGTGTTTTAGGGTTTAGGGTTTAGGCTTTAGGGTTTTAGGGTTTAGGGTTTAGGCTTTAGGGTTTGCGGTTCTTGGGACTCTATGGGTTTAGGGTCATTGGGCGGGTTTGGGGCTCAACGGGGGGTTTAGGGTCGAGGGTTTCGGGACTTGAGGGGTTTAGGGTTGCTGGGGTGATGGGGGTTTAGGGTTTAGGGTTTAGGGTTTAGGGTTATTGGGTTGTAGGATCAGGAGTATTGGGATCTAGGGTTTAGTGCTTGTGGCTGTTTTAAAGCCTGAACAGCTCCGAACCCAGGGCCATAGCTTTTCAAAGGCCTGAACCAAGTAAACCCTTGCAAGCCCCTCAGAAAGCTTGGACATGCAAACCCCAACCCTAAACTGAAGAGCCACAAGCCTGCGCGGAGAAGCGGGGTGTCTGAGCAAGAAAACCCAAGCCCGAAACCCTACACCCAAAGCCCTAACTTTCAGCTCTGAACGCAAAAACCCTCAGCTTTCAACTCCCCAAACTCTTCACCCTAAGCCCAGATTCTAAATTAAGCCCTGACACAGCATGTCTAAAGCCTCTGCAGAACCCATCAAGAATCCTCTACGCATCTCTTAAGCCCTGGTTCCTTGTTCAGGGCTCTAATT